CTAAAGAGCCTCTTGATGCGGGTGAAGAAGGAGAGTGCAAAAGTTGGCTTGAAACTCAACATTAAGAAAACCAAAATCATGGCATCCGGCCCTCTCAATTCCTGGCAAATAGATGGGGAAGAAATGGAGGTAGTGACAGATTTTATTTTCCTGGGCTCCAAGATCACCTCAGATGGGGACTGCAGCCAAGAAATTAAAACACGCTCCTGGGGAGGAAAGCTATGGCAAATCTAGACAGCATACTAAAAAGCAGAGACATCACCCTGCCAACAAAAGTGCGTAGAGTCAAGGCCATGGTTTTCCCAGTTGCAATGTATGGATGTGAAAGTTGGACCATAAGAAAGGCTGAGCGCCAAAGAATTGAGGCCTTTGAACTATGGTGCTGGAGAAGACTCCTGCGAGTCCCCTGGACTGCAAGGCGATCAAACCGGTCAGTCCTAGAGGAGATCAACCCTGACTGCTCTTTAGAAGGCCAGATCCTGACGTTGAAACTCAAGTGCTTTGGCCACCTAATGAGAAGGAAGGACTCCCTGGAGAAGAGCCTAATGCTGGGAAAGATTGAGGGCAAGAGAAGAAGGGGACGACAGAGAATGAGGTGGCTGGATGGAGTCACTGAAGCAGGAGGCGTGAGCTTAAATGGACTCCAGAAGATGGTAGAGGACAGGAAAGCCTGGAGGAACATTGTCCATGGGGTCGCGATGGGTCGGACACGACTTCGCAATTAACAACAACAACAAAATTCTGAGAGACAGAATTAGTTTGTTTTGAGCAAGGGAAATTGTCTATGGAGATTTTCTCAATCGTCCAGGTCATGGTTGTCCCAAAGCTGCTCTCTTTCAAAAGGCAACTGGACCTTCTTGTTTTGCTAGAAGATGTCTCGCTTCTCATCCAAGAAGCTTCCAGAAGAAGCTTTTTGGATGCGAAGCGAAATTTCTTCTAGCAAAACAAGAAGGTCCAGCTGCTTTTTGAAAGAGAGCACCTTGGGGGACACACATTATGATAATAATTTTTGAGGGGTCCTTGGTGCTCTCTCAGCCTGGATGTTCTGCAGATGTTTGATTACCCAAAGTAGATAATATCATCATCACTAGCACTGGTTCTGTTACCTAGTTTGGGTCATGAGACTTCTGCAAGAAAACAACCAAGCTCAGAGAGCATCAAGGACCCCTCATTTCAATCCTGAGTTACAAATATTCTCCTTTATTGATAATAATTTTTGTTAATTTGATAGCTACTGATGAGCAGTTAGTCCTCTGTTTGCCACCTATAAAGCGATGTTGTTACCTCTATTCCCTCAGCAAGATGCAAGCCAAGCATTCATTCATTCATTCATTCATTCATTCATTCATTCATTCATTCATTCATTCATTCATTGTATTACTTATCAGACCATCTCCCTCCCTCCCTCCCTAGTTTCCTCCCTATCAGCCAAATGCAAATTCAATAGCAATAGCACTTGGACTTATATACCGCTTCACAGTGCTTTACAGCCCTCTCTAAGCGGTTTACAGAGTCAGGCTATTGCCCCCCAACAATCTGGGTCCTCATTTTACTGACCTCGGAAGGATGGAAGGCTGAGTCAACCTTGAGCCCCATCAGGATTGAATTGCTGGCAGTGGGCAGAATTAGCCTGCAATACTGCATTCTAACCACTGCGCCACCATGGCTCTTAAATGCAACTAAGGTGACAAGTTCTTCAAAGGCAGAGCTGAATGTCACTAAAATATCACCACTAATAACTTCCCCAAGGAAAAGAATGGATGTAAAACAATGGATATGAGTTTGAATAAATTAACTTGTTTTCCCCCAAGATATTTGTCCATTGGAAAATGATGGTGAGGAAAAAAAACCCTTCAGAACTGATTCTCCAGGCAGAAATCTGATTTTTTTGTATCAGAGCAGAGCACGCCCCAACATTTCCCCCCTCTTCCCTGGTGAGGAAGTTGCAGTTTTAAAGTTGCACTTCTAGAAGTGTTTAAAAATCACTAAAAAGATCATTTTCTTTTGCTTCTCACAATGTGCAGTTCACCTTGAAATAATGATAAAGTAGAAAAATAGAAGTAAATAGAGTTATTATCTTGGGAAATTCATTATCTGTTCTGTGAAACAAAACCTAGTTGGTGCAGCTCCAGCCTAATACAAATAATGGCATTTTGCAATACAGTAGGGATGTCCAACCTTGGCAAATTTAAGACCTGTGGACTCCCAGAATTCCCCAGCCAGCATGGCTGGCTAGTTAGGGAATTCTGGGAGTCAAAGTCCACAGTTCTCAGAGTTGCCAAGGTTGGACACGGCTACTATAGAGGGTGAGCTGAGATCCTTTATTAAAGGAACCAGGCTATCGGTTTACCTGGTCTGTTTGACCTATTTACAGAGTGGAGATGTATTGTCGGGACCTGACTGAAAGATTTGAAGATGTCTGGATTGTTTCAGGACCCTTGATGTTACCTCAGTTGGATGAAGACGGGAAGAAGAAAGTTATCTACCAGGTTAGGATGCATTCTGGACTCTTTTTATTTCACTTTCTTTGTGTGGATTTGTAATGAATGCAGTCTTGAGTTCTCGCATGTGTTTCAGAAATAGAAGTGCCTGGGCAGTTGAAGAGTACTTTGCTGTGTTGTCTTTACTATAGTGTGCATATATATAGGGGACTATATGCAAGAAATAGTAATGACACCCCCTGCTTAAATTACTGAAGTAAAACTAAGTGGCAATAAGTGACAATATGTGATAGTTACTAGGTCTCTGTCCAATATATATATATAAATGAGAGCCAGTTTGGTCCAAAGGTTAAGGAAACAGACTAGAAACTGGGCAACTGGGTATTCTAGTCCTGCCGTAAGCATAAAAAAACCGCTGGATGATTTTGAGCCAATCACCAGGAAATGGTGAGTTCTAGTCCCACCTATAGCATGAAAACCAGCTATGTGATTTTGGGCCATTCACCAGGAGATGGTGAGTTGTAGTCCCACCTCAGGCATGAAAGCCAGCGGTGTGACTTTGAGCCAATCGCCAGGAGACTGTGAGTTCTAGTCCCACCTTTGGCATGGACACCAACTGGGTGACTTTGGATTACTCATTTTCACTCTCTCTCATTCCAAGCTACTTTGCAGGATTGTTGTGGGGAAAATAGGAGAATAAGTGTGAATAAGAAATGCTCGCCCCCCTTGAGCTATTTGTAAAAATAATAAAAGCGGGATATAAATAAATACATAAATATTCTCAAAGTTCCAGTTGTAGCCAGAGGACACAACAGTTTTCTGCCTTTTGGCTAATGTTTGCTTCAGCTGAATTTGGTTTATCCCAAACCAGTTGTCTGTTGCACAGATTGAGTGATGACCACACTTTGAATTTGAGGGCACACTTGCAGAATATAAATTATACTCTTATGTGTGGAATAGTAAAATAATGCCCATAGGAAAAATTCATGTCATCGCAAGGCAAAACACACTGTTTCATTTTTTTACAGAGTAAATAAAAATGACAGCATCTAGTCTGGGGATGCTGTTCAGCAGAGAGCCCGTTTGTCCTATGACAAAACCTTTGCTTCTAAAAAAGCTTTTTTTCCAATAAATTTTTCTTCCTCTGCTTCACTCAGATCAAACTCAGATTAAATGCATAATTTTGAGCTTCATCGCAGCACTTGCTGGGATTTGAGCTTTTCTTCATATTTATTTTACATTTCAACAAACTCATCTTGTTTAAGGGATTTTCATGTGTTTGATGAAGTTGCGACAAATTGTCGAAAAAAATCTCAGGATGGATTAAGGGATAAAAAAAAGTATGTTTAGTGAATGAAATACAGTTCTGTTTTAATAAATGATATCATTTTAGGCTGTAAGCCATAAACTCTTAAGTATCATAGAATAATTTATATATATATGTATATATCTTATACACATGCACATACACACACACATTCAGTTACTTCCCACACTTCTTCTCCATCTCTCCATCTTTGATTTTATGAAGGATTTCTGCAGGGAATTGTAGTGGGTGATCCCAGCCCTGACTTTCTATGTTTCTGTGGTAGGTGGCCAGGGGGATACTGTGATCAAATGAACTGGAAATGCTTCAGAGTTGGGCATTTTCCCCACAAACTGATTGGCTAGTTACAGAGATACTTTTATAGTTTGTTGACTGGCTCGTTATTTATATACAGCAGCCGTGCTCATAGCAGCACACCCCTTTCGTTTAATAAATGCAGAAATTACGGTTCCTTAAGAGTTTTGTTGGCTGCAAAATGCACAATCAGTTTGGCTCTGCCCTTCTGTTGTCCTCCCTGACAATACACTCAATCTCTGAAGCTTTTCCTCAGCCGCTTTGTCAAAAACAATGAATTTTTCACTCAATCAGGATAACAGTTGTGATAGATTCAGCTGCAGTCTCAAAGGAGCTTTTTTTTTTTCCCCTCCAAAAGGCAACTGGGCTGTTTTTTTTCCAGGAGGGGGAGGAAGAAGAGGTCACCCAAGAAGCTTCGTCAGTTCTGATGGGAGAAGAAAACTTCCTTCCCTAGTCATCAGAACTAATGAAGCTTCTTGGATGAGAAGCGAAATTTCTTCTTCCTCAAAGAAAAAACAGCCCAGTTGCCTTTTGAAGTAAAAAAAAAAAAAGCACCTTTGAGCCAAGACCTGGATGACTGGGAATCTCCACAGTCATTCACTAGCAAATGTATTGATTAAGATTTTATTTATTTATTTTATTTATTTAATTACATTTATATCCCGCCCTTCTCCTTGCGGACTCAGGGCGGCTGACAATAGATAAAATGCTAACATGTTATACATCTAATTAAAAATCGATTAAAAAGAAATATTTAAATACGTCCAATTTGTAATTAAAACCCCTTTAAAATCCCTTAGGCCAGTCCCGCGAGCTGGAACAACCACGTCTTGAGGGCGCAGCGGAAGGAAGGGAGATCAGGGATCACCCTGATCTCTGGGGGCAGTTCGTTCCAGAGGGTGGGAGCTCCCACAGAGAAGGCCCTACCCCTTGGGGTCGCCAGCCGGCACTGTCTGGCTGACGGCACCCCGAGGAGACCCACTCTGTGGGAGCGTAAGATAATGGATCACTATGAAAAAGATGCAGTTTCAAATGCATGCTTGACCGTGGAAACTGGCTGAAGGACTTTGAGCCAAATACTCTCTCTTAGTCCAGTTCTACAGTTATTATTAGTGGATAAATTGAAAAAGGGAGTGCTGCATAGACGGCTGTGCATGCCTGCATTATGATTTGGGTTATAAATCTGACAGACAGAACAGTGAGCATTAAAGTAAACATTACAAGTGGCTGGCCATCAAAATATATAACTGTACTGAGTAAATGAACTTTATAGTTATAATTTCTTTTCAAATGATATTGCTGTTGGAAAGCAAATACATATCAGGGCTGCTTCTACAGTTTAAGACAAAAAACGCAGTTGCGCACATCTTTTCAAAGAGTAACATAAGTATTTTAAAACAGAAATCTGAAAAAGGACACACAAAGCAATAAGGCCGAATGTAAGAGTTTAATGCATTCTAAGCATATGTTAATGTTTTCTCGTAATTTTTTTTAAAGAATAATGACCTCTTAATAATGAAGAAAGTGAACAAAGATTTGTTGCTGTTTTATAAAGTGCTGTGAAAAATATTTATTACCCTTTTCGGAAGAACTGGGTGTTTTAATTGGTTTCGCATAGTTTCCGTGTTTTCATAATTTCTGACAATGTGTGAAACGGGGTTCAAAGCTCTGGAAATCAAGATTTCACCTACTGTTGACCCTAAACACATTAAAGAAAGAATATTTTACTTAATAGTGACTCAAAACACTGAAAAAACTCTTTAATAGTGGATTTTCAGTTAGAAAAGCTGAATAGGCTTCTCCTACGAGACAAAAATCAATAAAGTATCCTAACCCTACTTATTCTAGCTGAACACAAAGGAACCAAGTGATTGAGAGGGCTCCACGCAGCTCTGCTATTAATTCCCTTTCTTGAAAAGACCCTTTTAAGATAGATCAAGGATGCCAGGCCGTAGGAGTCAAAACACTTGGAATGACATTATCCGTAGAAATAATTTCATGATAAGTGTCACTGCTCAAGTATCATCAGTTCAGGTAAAGTACAATAGTACTTTGGAGTCAAAAGAAGCCTTAAACTGAATGTAAAACAAGAGCACTGTGATTCCAGATTGTATCAGAAGACTGTTGCAACTAAATGGACTTAATCAATAGCTTTCCTTTTCTTTGGTTTTAAATTTGTGGCTAAATTAATTTCGGTCAGGATATATCAGAAATGTTTGTAGCTCAGTTTGATAGTAGAATCCATTGCCTTTGGCTGGAATTAAATCAATAAGTGTCTGTGCCATATATAATTAATTGGTAGTAGTATTATGATATAACTAAATGTTTTAATGGCTCCTAGCATCAGTACTTTTTAAAATGGATTACAGTAGTTCATTTGTAAGTAAGCTCGGTTGATATTGCCATCGTATCTTACTTTCGACTCTCCCTGGCTTGATTTATTATCTTTATAGACATTATTGGTATCTCAACTTATGATTACAATTGCCTATTTTTGTTGCTAAGCAAGGCAGTTGTTAAGTGAGTCGTGCCCTATTTTACAACCTTTTTTGCCATGGCTGTTAAATGGATCTCTGCCGTTGTTAAGTGATTTATTATGTCATTAAGCGAATTCCCCCATTGACTTTGCTTGTCAGACATCACCTGGGGAGATCACCACTGGTGATCCATAGGACTCCTGGATGCGGCAACCATCATTAATACATTCCAGTTGCCAAGCACCTGAATTTTGATCACATGGGGATGTTGTAGTGGTCATAAATTTCACACTTACGGTCATAATTTGATTTTTTTTTCAGTACCATTATAACTTCTAACGGTTATTAAACATTGTAAGTCGAGGACTATCTGTAGCATGATTTGGTGAGGCCTCAGTTATAGTTGAGTAACACCGTTTAAGAATAAGGCGGAGTATATTTGTTCATTTATTCTTGATCTTCACACCAAGAAGCAGTTTTGGAAGCGAAAAGATCACTGGGTTACAAAGAGAATATTTGTGGATTCTCTTTGAATTTCGTTGATGGGATTTTATTTCTGTTGACCTGCAGAAGTCTTAAGTAATTGCCATACCCAAGGCATAGGTCAGGGTGACAAAAACCCAAGGATTACCACTAATTTTGTTAACTCTGGTGGCATTGTATTTATTAGTGTCTGTAAGATCTTGATAAATTCATATTTCATTTCTTGCAATACAGCAAGCAATGTCTGTTTTCAGGTGTTGACTACTATTAATTTCTTCAGTACATTCTTTGGTGCAACACGAAAATTGTTGAGGGGTCTTTGGTGCTCTCTGAGCTTGGTTGTTTTGTTGCAGACATTTCATGACCCAAACTAAGATATTTCTTATTTAGTTAGGGCTGCCATAGCTGGCCTGCAAATTGCAAACAGCCACTTGTTGTTGTTAGTTGCGAAGTCGTGTCCGATCCAT